ACACACACACACACACACACACACACACACACACACACACACACACACACACACACCCGCACACACACACACACATGCACACACACACACACACACACATGCACGCTCCCTCAGCGTGACTCACGTTTTGGTTGTGAGGAGGGTCTGGTTTGCACTGACACCAATACGTTTCCGCAACGGCGCCAGCAGCCGCTTGTGGTCCTGATGCAATCACACACACACGAGGCATGGACACCGCCGTTTGTTACACGCTACACAACATGCACACACAATATCACTCATACACAGAGAACAACACCACTGCAATGCACCACACATCACGCAACACCACGCAACACACAATTCAACACCACACAACACACAATTCAACACCACACAACACATCACTCAACATCACAACACAATCACGACATCACAACCACATCATCACAGCATCCCACCTGTTCGAATCGCATGAAGAGGTCGTGTGTGACGGCGGCCGCCTTTGGTTTGAAATATTTCGGCGGGCGGTCGTGCAGCGTTGTCGCCCTGATGGTATCACGGACACGTGGGAAACAGTAGCACAAGGTGAACGTACGTCCACAACCGAACACACACACACACACACACACACATGGACACACACACACACATGGACACACACACACACACACACACACACACACACACACACAACACACACGTGGACGCACGTGATTCCCCAGTTGTCTCGCAGGTCGCGGGCCATTGCATCTGTGACGCAGAGATGGCGGGAACCGAGCCGCCCAAACGTGCGCTCAATCCACTCCGATAACCGCACAAACACGTGGCGCTTGCCAAGCTTCAGCGCAAGGATGCTGAACCCTGCACAATGGTGCAAAGAGAGAGAGAGAGAGGGAGGGAGAGAGAGAGAGTGTGTGTGTGTGTGTGCGTGCGAGTGCGCACATGTATGTGACAAACACTACGTGCTGTTTGCACACTTGGCACCATGCACGGCAACCCAATACACACACACGGCGCTCGAAACAAACCGTAGTTGTGCCAGTCAATGACGAGCGTTGTTCCGGTGAGCCAGCAGACCAGCACGGCAATGGGCATGGCGGGAATGGACGGTGGGTTCTGCAGCGCAAACAACACAAATGCACATGGAGCACAGAGTGAGCACAGGAAACAGAAAGCGCGCACAACAGAAAGGAGGCCTCACGGAAGGCAGGCATCACAGACACCAAGCACCAATGTCACCTTTCGATCACACACACACACACATACAGGCACATGTAAAGGCGTAGATATCAGCACACCTGCATGAGGAGGTGCGTGCACGCTGGGATGCGAAAGAGCAGCGAGTACACGAGCTGCACGGATTGCAGGACCACCTTCACTGGCGCATACAGAACAAACGCCAACCTCGGCCACCCTGCACACACACACACACACACATGAGGATGAGATGGAAAGCGAAAAGGCGAATGACGGGCGAGCACGTACCTGTGTGAGCGCAAGCATGCATCCTTGCACGCAACATACACATGTAAACACAAACTCACACACACACTCACATGACTTCACACGCACACACATACACACATACACACACATAACACACCCAAACAGAGCACACACACACACAGCACACACACACACATGCAAAGCTTCACACCTGGTGGAAGAGTTGGCGGTGTTGGGATGTCGACGAAGGTGATGTTCTGTGCAGAGACAATGTCCTCCACGGGCCGTGAGCCGGCGTAGGCCACCGTGAACACGTGCTCCACCGTCTTTGACAACGACAGCACATGGTACTGCATGCGCGGGCTCCTTCCCAAGTCCCCCAGCACCAGCACGCACACATATCGTCTCCTGTGGCATGTGTGTGTGCATGTGTGTTTGTGTGTGTGTGTGCGTGTGTGCATGTGTGTGTGTGTGTGTTGATGGGTGTGATGAGACATGGAAAGCCGGTGACTTCGAACAATTCACACACACACAACCAAACATACATACACACATACACATACACACACACACATACACACATGACATACCTGCCCTGTGCCTTGTTCCACAGCAGGCGCGCCAGCACCACCACCACCGGCACCAGCAACAGTAACACAAACAGCATCATCATCATCGTCATCGTCAGCATCAAAGGAGAAGAAACGGTGTCACTGCACAATATGGTGTCGCATGCGACGAAATTCCTCGGTCAAACTCGAAAACCCCAAAAACGCCAAGGACAGCTGCAGCACTCGCAACCGTCCAAACACACACACCCTCACCCTCGCCACCCGCACCACCCACATCACCCTTGCTTGCTTGCTGCCACCTTCCTGCGCCTGCCTCGCTCGCTCGCGGTTGTCTGGGTGGCATCGCCCGTTCCTCGAGCGTCACGCGTCCTGCCTCCACAGGGTGCTGAATTGCTTTGTCTTGACACTGCTGGTCGCGGCACCACCTTTGTGAGCGTGTGTGCGTGCGTGGCAGGTGTGATTGTGTGGCCGCCTTCGCCACCCTTCCTCCACCATACCCAGGTGCCCTTCGCCCTGCTCTGTTCTCGGGTGTGGCAACAGCAGGTCCACACGAGTGGTAAGAACACTGTCAATCCGGCCTCGTGTGTGAAAGTGTGTGTGTGTGTGTGTGTGAAGGTGTTTGGCCGTGCTTGACTGTGCTTGACTGTGCTTGTGTGGGCCCTTTTTCTGTGCACTCGGCGATGCTGACGCGGTCCTCCCCCCCCCCCTAGTCCTTCGATCGCTAACACCGCGTTCTCCTATCCTCTCTTTGTTTGGTGCCACAAGGCCCCTGATCCGCAAAGCCCGATACATTCGTCCATGAGCCAACACGCGCGCCGCCCGGGCTCTGCCCGGCCCGGGTCCAGGTCTCCCCAGACCCTCCAGCGTACGTCAGTGTGCTGCGGTGTGCGTTCTTTTGTGTGTGTGTATGCATGTGTGTGCTCATGTGTGTGTGTGTGTGTGTGTGTGTGCCTGCGCTTACTGCACCACCTTGCACGCTCACGAAACAGACCAATGTGGACCTTATCGCACGTGTATGCGTGCGCGTGTATTGCTTGCGACCGCATGGCAGGAGTGGTGTCACAACGACGTGACGAACAAGAAGAGCCAAGGGTGTTTGATGTGAACAAGCAACTCCACGAATGGGATGTACGTGTGAAAGATGTGTGTGTGTGTGTGTGGCTGCCTGCTTGCGGCCGTGTTGAACTGCTTGCTCGCATGCGTGGGCTTTTGCTCATGTGCCGTCATGCTTCCTGCTCATGCAGCCTTCGGAGATCCACGGTCGCTGTATGGGCCATCTCTGGCACCGCAGCGACACGTCCCGCATGTTCAAGCGCGGGAAAAAGACAGGTTGGTGAGGTGTGCGTGTGTGTGTGTGTGTGTGAGCGTGTGTGTGTGTGTGTGTGTGTGTCTGTGAGCGTGTGTATCTCTGTCTGTGTGTGTCTGTGTGTCTGTGAGCGTGTGTGTATCTCTGTCTGTGTGTGTGTCTGTGTGTCTGTGCGTGTCTGCGGCCGCGTCTGTGTGTGTGTGTGTGTGTACCCTCATATGCGCAATCTCGACTCTCTCTCTCACACAATCTGCTGGACTGCCAACCTCACGCCCCGCACCGGTCAACAACTGCGGTCGTTAAACATCAGGCTACCAGTGCCTGGCGTGTCACAACACCGTTGATGACATTACAAACCACGACAACAAACTCGTCAGCGCGTGCCGCCCAACCTTCACCGTCCTCAGCGAATACCCACCACGTGAAAAGGTGCAGCCTGATGTGTGTGTGTGTGTGTGTGTGTGTGTGTGTGTGTGTGGAAACATGTGTGAGTGTGTACATGTGTGTGTGTGTGTTTGAATGAGAAAGATCAAGTTGCTCACGCTTCTCCATTTTCCTTCTTTCCACCATCTGCAGCTGACTGTCACCCATCATTGGGTCAAGGGGTCGTATCCAAAGGGCAAGGTCTGCGACTTTTGCTCAAAGCAGGTGCGATCTGTGTGTGTGTGTGTGTGTGTGTGTGTGTGTGTGTGTGTGTGTCTGTCTGTCTGTCTCGCCT